ATGTGTGTGTGTGTATGTGTGTGTGTGTGTGTGTGTGGTATGTGTGTATATATGTACTTTCGATTACCAGCAACTGCACGTGCGCATATTACCATAGTATTTCGATCACCTTCCTGCGAGGTATATGTCACCCATTTCCAAACAATCACTTTGCAGCCATGCGGCCTTATGGTTTATACCACACACAGAGTGGCCCATACCCTTGTAACATCACCAGTCAGCTACCACGTTATGACGCAACTGTGCAGACTTATTGCGAGATCAAACCACCCCTCAAACACGCGCACGCACACACGAACACGATACAAGGTATAAACCCCTGCATGCGTGAACACACAAGTACATGCACAGACAGCATATTGCCACTCTGTGCCAATCGACGGCAAAGTGAATGGTCACATAGTGTACAGCAGTAGGTAGGCAGTTTAAACAGTCGCCTATACATATCAGTAGGTAGGCAGCTTAAACAGACACCCACACGTATCAGTAGGTAGGCGTTTAAACAGACACCCCGACGTATCAGTAGGTAGGCAATTTAAACAGACATCAACACGTACCAGTTAGGTAGGCAGTTCAATCATACACCCACACGTATCAGTAGGTAGGTAATTTAAACAGACGCCTTTACATATCAGTAGGTAGGCAGCTTAAACAGACACCCACACGTATCAATAGGGAAGTTTAGACAGACACCCACACGTATCAGTGGGTAGGCGGTTTAAACAGACCCCTATACATATCAGTAGGTAGGCAGTTAAAACAGACACCCACACGTTTCAGTAGGTAAGCGTTTAAACAGACACCCCCACGTATCAGTAGGTAAGCGTTTAAACAGACACCCCCGCGTATCAGTAGGTAGGCATTTAAACAGACACTCACCCTTATCAGTAGGTAGACGGCTTAAACAGATACCGACACGTATCAGTAGGTAGGTAGCTTCAACAGACACCCATACATATCAGTAGGTAGGCAGCTTAAACAGACACCCATTCCTATTAGTAGGTAGGCAGTTTGCAGTTTAAACAGACGGCCACACATATGTGTTGCATCCACTCCACCTACCCGCATTGACATCGCTTGGGTTGTGCTTGTAGTCCTGGATTCTCGTGGCACCAATCAGCCACGCGCCTAGTGGTCCGACAGCGATGATCGTACAGCGTATGGCTTCTTGAAACTCGCGTAGAAACCGACTGCAACAACATGTCACACGAAAGCAGGGGTAACGAGGGATTAGTCAGTGCTACTGGGGGATGTGAGGTGCTTGTAAATTGATGTGGTGCAAGTGCCTGTCTATTAGAGCATACAAGTTTTAGCGTAGAATGTTGGCACGCACATATCTCCAGTGAGAGTACTGTCGACACGTAAGTCTGCTATCACGCATCAGCGTAGGGACTGCGTCTACGACAGCTAGCAGGACGCACCACAAACCACAACCCCACCGATACTGCACACCAGCAACTGCAATCTGACATGCGCAGATGGATATGCATGCAATGTCGGGTTCTCAGACTCCGTACAAGTGCACGTGGCACGAGTCTTGAGTGTGACAGACAAGTGTCCTTTGGCGCATACTTCATATGCAGCTCCTTGTTGATCATGTGCTTTGATCGCTGGCGACCGTAGAAGGACCATGTGAAGTACGCCGCCAGGTAGACACCCTGTGGTATAATGCAATACAATACAATACAATACCATAGTAAGCTGTAGTGTCAATCACCCCGCCAGACCATATACAAACTTGTAACATCAATTTAGGGTTTTATATGTTTCGTTTACCTTATGCCAGGTTAGGATAGTTCCCGTGCCGGCCTGACAGGCGACAGGTGATAGTGACACATGACACGCGACAGATTAACATTTGGATTGCAATGCATAGCCTCTCTAGCCTCCCCTATTCTGCAGAGCGTAAGGACAAGACAATCACCGATCGTGCGTATGGATTTGAATTGAACGACGATACATGCACTATGAGTCATCTGTCGTGTATAGTCGTATGTGTACCTGACAGAAGGCAAAGCTGGTGTGTCCCGAGGGGTAGCTCTTCTGCCCTTCTTCCACCACACCCTCGTCGGGGTTTGTGCAGGCATCCGTATCTGATGGGTTGAGCCGTCGTCGTGGTTTGGTGTTAGTCTCTATACGAATCTTGTCCGCAAGACAGACCGCTGTGTGATGTAAACAACAGACATGCATACACACGGTACATCAACATGCACCACCGCCCCGCATACGGCACAAACTTAGTATGAAGGAAAAAGAACATGAACACAGACAGACGATCACATACAAAAGAACTCTACACGACACGACCCTCGGCACATCAAGCGTCACCGGAGCAGTGTGATACAACGCAATAGTCGTGTACGCGGGAATGTCTATGATAATAGATGCTTGATATTTTACATTCGAAGTTGATGTGAGATCAGAGCGCACCCCCAAGCCATGTCCATCAAACGACTCAGTGTAGTAAGAGCGTATTCTCAGCAGAAGGCTCGGTGTGGTTGAAGGTGTTGCGTCTTCAGTTTCGCAACACGCCGGTGCAGTTAAACGTTGCGCAGCTATTACTTGGTGGCACGTTATATATGTTGCTCACACTGACTACTACACGTATATAAATTACATAGGCTCCACTCATTGACTACTACACGTATATAAACTACATAGGCTCTCACTCACTGACTACTACACGTATATACACTACATAGGCTCTCACTCACTGACTACTCCACGTATATAAATTACATAGGCTCTCACGCACTGACTACTGCACGTATATAAACTACATAGGCTCTCACTCACGGACTACTACGCGTATATAAACTACATAGGCTCTCACTCACTGACTACTACACGTATATAAACTTCGTAGGCTCTCACTCCCTGACTACTACACGTATATAAACTTCGTAGGCTCTCACTCACTGACTACTACACGTATATAAACTGCACAGGCACTCACTCACTGACTACTACACGTAAATAAACTACATTAGCTCTCCCTCTCGGACTACTACACGTATATAAACTACATAGGCTCTCAAGCACTGACTACTACACGTATATAAACTACATAAGCTCTCACTCTCGGACTACTACACGTATATAAACTACATAGGCTCTCAAGCACTGACTACTACACGTATATAAACTACATAGGCTCTCACTCACGGACTACTACACGTATATATACTACATAGGCTCTCACTCACTGACTACTACACGTATATAAACTTCATAGGCTCTCACTCACTGACTACTACACGTATATAAACTACACAGGCACTCACTCCCTGACTACTACACGTATATAAACTACATAGGCTCTCACTCACTGACTACTACACGTATATAAACTACACAGGCACTCACTCGCTGACTACTACATGTATATAAACTACATAGGCTCTCACTCATTGACTACTACACGTATATAAACTGCAAAGGCTCTCACAACAACAACCGGTCGGCAAGCCAATCCGTACAGATCATACCATTGCCATGCATAACTGTATACGTATGCACTTTACCTTAGCCTCAGCAATAGGACTATATTATGTACGTTGTAACACACACGGCCACCGGTACTACTCGCACAGGTACACATTGACACATTCACAGCCCTCCTCGATGCGCTGACAGACTGTATTGATCTTGGCATGCTGCACTTGAACACACATGCAGTGGCCCAAAAACTGGGACGGCATACGACATTGGACCTCACTGAGACACAGATGCTACGCCAACTTACTGTATTGGTCCAGCGCCGCATTGGCCGGGAGCATGCACCTGGCCAGGAAATCGGGCCTCAATCGGCCCACCATTTTCTTCACGAACTCGGTGATAGACAGGGTCACTATCTATATGGCGTATGTGATGGCAAAGACATCTCAGTCGGGTGTAGCAGCGCTTGTCCCGTTCTAACGCAATCCAAGGTCGCACAAGCCATGATGTGGACGGATATACGATTGGCACATAGTAATAATTTTGTAGGCATTCGATAACGGGACAATGGTTGTGCGCTTCGAACGCACACATGGCTCACGCACTCCGTTGCTCTTTGCCTCCCTGGAGGCGGCGTGCGTGTTGGTGCGTTTGTAGAAGTTTCGTGTTGGTGTGTTTGTAGATGTTCCTATGCGAATTGTATTGGCATCCCTACAGCTCTACACCCAGAGCCCGCAGTATTCGGTTACAGGTGTCTATTCGATAACACTTGAAGTGGCGGAGGCTTTTCTCGTGCATTGCATCGTTCCAAGCACGTGAGCTGAGCTTTGTACCATTGTAGCATTGTATGTGTGCATAGTCAGTACTTCACACGCCTGTGTTCATAGTCAGTACTTCACACGCCTGTGTGCATAGTCAGTACTTCACACGCCTGTGTTCATAGTACTTCACACGCCTGTGTGCATAGTCAGTACTTCACACCCTATATAACCTACCTGAGCCAGGATCAGGTCTATGGCAAAGAACAGTATCGTCCACACAGCCCTGCACCGGTATGCGTAGTAGAAAGATGAAGGGTCCGTGCGACATAACACTTTGCCTACAAAGACGTTTTGGCTCATACTAGAACATCGAAATCGAAGCAAGCGTTGTGGTGCGAGGATCTGAATGCAGATGTATGTACATTGCCGTGGCACGAGCACTCTAACTCAACATGGGACCTAGTGATTAAACTGCGGCGTCTGTGTTGGTATGTACAACACAGTACACACTAGTGAACAAGCAGAATTTATGACAAACATGGCTACCGGCGATACTGCTAGAAGGCATGCAATAACGAAACTGGCAGCTGACAGGTGGCAGACCCACAGTCACAAGCCTGCAATACCAAAGTGTAAACGCATCGAAATGGCGCCCAAACGTATGATGCACCTGCTAGTAACATACCACGTGGAGTTTATGTGCACAGATCTGAAGTAGGTCATCTCATTGATTGCTATTGCCAAGACGATGCCTGCAACGTACGATCGCATCAACGGACAAGTGAGTATACAGGAAGGTCCGTATGCGTGAACGTTTGCCTTTGAAAGTTGTGACTTATTCGGATGTAGCCGCGGCAGAACTATGAGCTAAACAATCAGAGTTGTCCACTATTCATAGCCCCACAACACCCATGAGATGGCGACAGGCGATGGAGCCAATGTCTCGATACATATCGCTGCTTTATAGTCTGGTTCAGATGCAGTAGCTGTTTTTGTGGAGACGGTGAATGCTGCAGAACGGTGACTTTGTAGTGTGACTTTGTAAACCCGACTACGGGATGTACCGAAACACACAGTATATCGACTGAACTATA